AAATGTTAGTTATTAGTTGTTAGATTAGCACCTATGGAAAAAAATCTCATCACCCTTAGTAAAGCACGTACGTGCTTGTACACCCTTAATTCAACCCCTCTAAGGGAAATTGACTCATGACCTCTTTAGGATTAAGCTCTAAGAAAGGCATGGTTGCCAACTTTGTGTTGGGTTGGGTTTCCATCCTATGTGGAGAAAGGCCCAAAACATTTAATAAGCCCATGTGAATTCCAAAGCCCACATGGAGAGGTTATGTTTTTTGAAAAGATCTGGCCCATAAGTTTAGGATTACAAACCCTTTCTCTGCACACAAAAAGAGACATAGAAGCTGCCACCAAAACAGAAAGGAGAGGAGAAATTCTGTCCAGCGGTGATCAAGCTATCCGATCAACAAGAATCTGTGGTCCGATTGAGCTGAAATCTGGTAGGCGAGTTCACAACTCAAGACTCTAAATTCTGGACGGTGGAGATCAGATTTGGAGTTTTCTACTGCTAGTTTTTGGCCCGTGAACAATACCATTTTTGGTGAGATTTTTCCTAAACTTTGTAGTTTGATCTTTGGTTGCCAAGGAAGCTTATTTGTAAGTTGTTCTTGATTGTTTGCCTCTAGTTCTATCTAGAGAGAACTCTTGTATACCCATTATTTGTTTATAGTGGAGATATTTGGTGGACTACGGTCTCGTGGTTTTTCCTTTCCACATCGGGAAGGTTTTCTACGTTAAAAATTTGCTGTCGCCTTGTTGTGTGATTGTTGGATCATCGCTTTCAGATTATTTTCAGATTATATTGTGCTCTATTAAATTACTTCCTAATAGGTTCACACAAAGAGGGAGAATAAACTACTTCCGCTATTTTTGTGCCGGATTCGGATATTTCGAATTGGTTTTTTATTTTGTTTTCTCCCAACATAGTGGTATCAGAGCTTGGTTCATATTTTTGTGCATCTTGTGTTGAATAATGGAAGCAAATTTGAGTAGAATGGTTACCTTGAATGGTTCTAATTATCACACATGGAAAGGAAAAATGGAAGACGTCCTTTATGTGAAACAATTTCATCTACCGGTGTTTGCTACTGAAAAATCAGAAAATAAATCTGATGAAGAATGGACATTACTACATCGACAAGTGTGTGGGTACATTAGGCCATGGGTGGATGATAATGTTTTGAATCATATTAGTGGAGAGACACATGCCCGTACACTCTGGAACAAACTTGAACAATTGTATGCTCGGAAGACTGGAAATAATAAAATGTTTCTAATAAAGCAATTGATGACCTTGAGATACCAAGATGGAACCCCATTGACAGATCACTTGAACACTTTTCAAGGAGTAATTAATCAGTTGGCTGGAATGGGTATCAAGTTCGACGATGAGGTACAGGGGTTGTGCTTGCTTGGTACATTGCCGGACTCTTGGGAGACATTTAGAATGTCATTATCTAACTCGGCTCCAGATGGTGTAATCAATATGGATCTGGCTAAGAGCAGTATTTTAAATGAAGAGATGAGGAGGAAATCACAGGGATCTTCTTCACAGTCAGAGGCTTTGGTTACAGAAAGGAGGGGGAGAAGCAAGAGCAGAGGTCCGAAGAACAGAGATAGAGGTAGAAGCAAGTCCAACAAGTTTGCTAATGCTGAGTGTTATCATTGTGGCATGAAAGGGCACATCAAGAAACAGTGCAGAAAATTGAAGAGAGAGAACAAGGAGAAAAGGATTGAGCATGATGGAAAGGATAATGATCAAGTTGCCACCGCTACTTTCGAAGACTTTCTCATTGTTTATGATGAAGATGTTATTAACATAGCATGCCATGAGACCAATTGGGTGATTGATAGTGGTGCCTCTATTCATGCTACATCTCGAAAAGATTTCTTCACATCCTACATACCTGGTGACTTTGGTTCAGTAAAGATGGGTAATAATGGCTTGGCCAAAATTATTGGTGTTGGAGACGTGCACTCGGAGACGAATAATGGCACGAGGTTGGTTCTTAGAGATGTAAAGTATATTCCTGATATCCGTATGAATTTGATTTCTACAGGTAAACTTGATGATGAAGGGTATTGCAACACTTTTAGTAATGGTCAGTGGAAGCTCACTAGGGGTGCTATGGTTGTGGCTCGAGGTAAGAAGCATTCTACTTTGTACGTAATGCAAGCAAGGCTCCCCAAAGAAGCTATTAATGCAATGGATGATGAGTCTACAGTGGAATTGTGGCATAAAAGGCTTGCTCACATGAGTGAGAAAGGCCTGGCAACATTGGCTAAAAAGAATCTTCTGTCTGGAATGAAGAATGCACTTTTGAAAAGGTGTACACACTGTTTGGCAGGAAAGCAGAATAGAGTTTCCTTCAAGAGTTCCCCTCCTTCAAGAAAGCCAAATATACTTGATTTGGTATATTCAGATGTCTGTGGTCCTATGAAGACAAGAACACTTGGTGGCTCCCGTTACTTTGTGACCTTCATAGATGATTATTCAAGAAAGTTGTGGGTCTACACTTTAAAAAGCAAAGATCAAGTGTTGGAGACTTTTAAACAGTTCCAAGCCTTAGTTGAGAGACAGACTGAGAAGAAGCTCAGGTGCATCAGAATAGATAATGGGGGAGAGTATTGCGGTCCTTTTGATGATTATTGCAGACAACAGGGTATTCGACATCAAAAAACACCCCCGAAGACTCCTCAGTTGAATGGTTTAGCTGAAAGGATGAATAGGACACTAGTTGAAAGAGTTAGATGCTTACTTTCACAGGCACGGTTGCCAAGATCCTTTTGGGGTAAGACTTTGAGTATAGTTGTACATGTTCTTAATCTCACACCATGTGTTCCTCTTCAGTTCGATGTACCAGACAGAGTTTGGACTGGCAAGGATGTTTCCTATGATCACCTGCGTGTCTTTAGATGTAAAGCATTTGTTCATATTCCCAAAGATGAGAGGTCTAAGCTTGATATGAAGACCCGACAGTGTATTTTTCTAGGCTATGGCCTAGATGAGTTTGGCTACAGGTTATATGATCCACTTGACAAGAAACTAGTGAGAAGCCGAGATGTTGTATTTATTGAAGATCAAACTATACAAGATACTGAAAAAGCAGATAACACAATGTCCTGGCATAGTGATGGTTTAGTTGACTTGGATCCTGTTCCTCTGACAGATTTGCCTGCACAGGTTGAACATGATGTTCAGAATAACCAACAAGGTCTAGGTGATGCTGATGACCCCTTATAGATCTAGACAAGTGATGAGACTCTTGAGCAGTTGGCAACACCAGGGATACCACCAGATATTCCAACCAGGAGGTCAGCTAGAGACCGACATCCTTCCACTTGGTATTCTACAGATGACTATGTGTTAATGATTGATGTGGGAGAGCCCAAGGGTTATGCAGAAGCCATGGAAGATGATCATAAGCTGGAATGGGCTGATGCGATGCAAGATGAGATGCAATCATTGCATGACAATCACACTTTTGAGTTGGTGAAACTGCCTAAGGGCAAGAGAGCTTTTAAAGAACAAGTGGGTGTACAGGGTGAAACATGATGAACTCACTTCACAACCACGATACAGAGCTAGACTCGTTGTCAAAGGGTTCAGTCAGAGAAAAGGCATTGATTTTGATGAGATCTTCTCACCAGTTGTAAAAATGTCTTCTATTTGTGTGGTTCTTGGCTTAGCCGCTAGTCTAGACTTAGAGATTGAGCAAATGGATGTGAAAACTGCCTTCTTTCATGGCAACTTGGAGGAAGAGATTTACATGGAACAACCAGAGGGTTTCAGGGTGAAAGGAAAAGAGGATTATGTGTGTCAGCTAAAGAAAAATCTTTATGGTCTGAAGCAGGCACCCAGGTAGTGGTATAAGAAGTTTGAGTCAGTTATGGAGGAGCAAGGCTACATGAAAACTACTTCTGACCATTGTGTATTTGTGCAGAAATTCTCTGATGATGATTTTATTATTTTACTGCTCTATGTTGATGACATGTTGATTGTTGGCAGGAATCCTTCGAGAATTGACAAATTGAAGAAGCAACTAAGCAAGTTCTTTGCCATGAAAGACTTGGGGCCAACAAAGCAAATTCTTGGTATTCGAATCTATCGAAACAGAAAAGAGAAGAAATTGCACATGTCACAAGAGCAGTACATTGAAAAAGTTCTTGAAAGATTCAATATGAACAATGCTAAAGTGGTTAGCTCACCTCTTACTACTCATTTTAAGTTAAGCACTAATCAAAGCCCTTGTACAAATAAAGAGAAGGAAGATATGGAAAGAGTTCCATATGCCTCAGCTGTGGAAAGCTTAATGTATGCAATGGTCTGCACAAGGCCAGATATAGCTCATTCAGTTGGTGTGGTTAGCTGATTTCTTTCAAACCCAGGAAGAGAACATTGGAATGCAGTAAAGTGGATAATGAAATATCTTAGAGGCACTTCTAGGTTGACACTTAGTTTTGGAAATGGACAACAAATTTAGTTGGCTACACTGATGCAGATATGGCAGGAGATGTGGATACCTGTAAGTCTACTTCGGGTTATTTTGGCAGGCAAGGTTGCAAAAATGTGTTGCACTCTTTACAACAGAGGCAGAGTTTATTGCAGCAACAGAAGCTTGTAAAGAGTTGCTATGGATGAAAAAGTTCTTGACGGAGCTTGGTTTCAAACAACAACAATATGTGTTGTTTTGTGATAACCAAAGTGCTATTCACTTGGCTAAGAACTCTACATTCCATTCGAGGTCGAAGCACATCGACGTGAGGTACCATTGGATAAGAGAAATTCTTAATCATAAGTTGTTAGAACTTGGAAAAATTCATACTGATGATAATGGTGCTGATATGCTGACAAAAGCTTTGGTAAGGGAGAAGCTTGAGACATGTTGCTCAATTGCCTGGATGAAGAATCACTCCACCTAGTCGGAAAGGGGGAGATTTGTTGGGTTGGGTTTCCATCCTATGTGGAGGAAGACCCAAAACATTTAGTAAGCCCATGTGAATTCCAAAGCCCACATGGAGAGGTTATGTTTTTTGAAAAGATCTGGCCCATAAGTTTAGGATTACAAACCCTTTCTCTGCACACAAAAAGAGACATAGAAGCTGCCACCAAAACAGAGAGGAGAGGAGAAATTCTGTCCAGCAGTGATCAAGCTATCCGATCAATAAGAATCTGTGGTCCGATTAAGCTGAAATTTGGTAGGCGAGTTCACAACTCAAGACTCTAAATTCTGGACGGTGGAGATCAGATTTGGAGTTTTCTACTGCTGGTTTTTGGCCCACAGTACCGTTTTTGGTGAGATTTTTCCTAAACTTTGTAGTTTGATCTTTGGTTGCCAAGGAAGCTTATTTGTAAGTTGTTCTTGATTGTTTGCCTCTAGTTCTATCTAGAGAGAGCTCTTGTATACCCATTATTTGTTTATAGTGGAGATATTTGGTGGACTACGGTCCCGTGATTTTTCCTTTCCACATCGGGAAGGTTTTCCACGTTAAAAATTTCCTGTCGCCTTGTTGTGTGATTGTTGGATCATCGCTTTCAGATTATTTCTTGATTGTTTGCCTCTAGTTCTATCTAGAGAGAGCTCTTGTATACCCATTATTTGTTTATAGTGGAGATATTTGGTGGACTACGGTCCCGTGGTTTTTCCTTTCCACATCGGGAAGGTTTTCCACGTTAAAAATTTGTTGTCGCCTTGTTGTGTGATTGTTGGATCATCGCTTTCAAATTATTTTCAGAATATATTGTGCTCTATTAAATTACTTCCTAATAGGTTCACACAAAGAGGAAGAATAAACTACTTCCGCTATTTTTGTGCCGGATTCGGATATTTCGAATTGGTATTTTGTTTTGTTTTCTCCCAACACTTTGCAGTACATTGTGGAAACTACTGGTTATCCCCGAGAGCATCCGCAACTGAAGGAACTCAGAGAAGCTTCTTTCAATAAGTACAAGGAATAGTATGGCTTCTATTGGTTTATCTCCAAAATAAATTGTATTTTTTTTTCAAAAATTTAAAAAACCTGTTTGATTTGGTTTTCTTTTCTTTTTTATTATTAATCAGTAAGAGAGTAATTACAAATTTACATAAAGACGGTTGTACCTTCAATAGTTTGAGAAATTTCACTGTGTTCTATTGGTTATGTTAACAAAGGTTTTACAACATAAGAGGGTAATATGACAATTTTACACCCAAATTATAAGTTTAAAAAGACCCACAAAACTTTACCCATAGCCAAAAAAAACCCCAAACAAATTAACTTCTTTAAATTCTAAAAAAAATTTAAAAACTACACTAGAAAAATAATTACCATACCAATTCCATTCATGATTTGACAAAAATAGCGAATGCATGCCAATACATTATCTTCAATTGTGTTATTGCATCTTAAAAAGTGTCTTGCAGGTACTATCCAAAAAAAAAAAATGTCTTGCAGGAGTCTAATGAACATCGCTATTGATGAAAGACAACTCATCTCAATGCTTGAATGCCAATAAAAGTTTGGAGATTGGTGTTTTACTGGTTATTCTCTCCTCACTACTACTGCTCTCGCTCTCCCACATGATGGCAAGGTAAGTTTTTCATTCATATGTGGGAAAATGATTATAACTTATAGCCTAACAGCTTATAGCTTATAGCTGTGAACATAAGCTGATTTTTAACTTATAAATTAAGCTTCTCCGCCCCCACTCAAAGAATAAGTTGATTTTTGACTTACAAAAAGCTATAAGCTGTATTGTTAAGTTAAACCAAATACATCAAAATAGCTTAAATTAAGTTAAAAGCTGAAATAAGCTGGAAATAAATTCTACCAAAGAGGGCCATAATAACATTGCAAACCCACCGTTACATAAATAATCTCCAAACAATAGAAATAGTCGCTCTAAATGCAGGATGAGGCCTCGTACCTCAATCCTCCATAATTTTTGTAATGCCGGGAGCCTTGTGGAAATTCAATTATTACCAATAAAGTATAGGTAAATTTAGTGAAAATTCTTTTTGTTGGACTCTTATTTGGTAAAAGGGACCGCACAATTTATTTTGATTCATAAATCTACTAAAGAAGAAACACGTAATTGAGCAATTACACAGTAAAATATCTTTTTTTTCTTAAATAATATTATCAAAGTAACATGTTACTGTGAATCAGAGTAACATATTATTGCGAGATAGAGTAATATATTAGTGTGAGATAGAGTAACATGTAACTGTCAAACAGAGTAACATGTTACTTTGAGACAGAATAACATGTTGATGTTACTGTTTACATCAATTTCGACGGTAATAATTTTTTTTTTATAAAGAATTTCATAGTCAACGTGGATCTTATTTGATAGATCTTCATGAGAGAATTTTTAAAATACTAATTTTATTTAAAATCTACATCTACATCAAAAGTTATATTATTTTAAAGTTTAATATTTTGATAATAATAGTATGTGTTGGACTTTTCAAAGAAATTTTTTTATGCTTGTCCTTAAAGCATTAAAATTTTATTATAAGGGGGATTTGACCAAATTTTTTGGCTGTAATTTATAAATTGACTTATTTTTTCAACTTATTTTGATCATTTAGGCCCTATTTGGGAAGTTAGGTTTGAGCTAAAATATTTAATAAAGACAAAATAAGCTAAAATAACTAATAAGATAAAATTTCACATTCAAACCATAATCATTTTATTTTTTCTCACAATTATCAAATCAACTACAAAAAAAAAAAAGTCAATTTCTCAAACACAACTTTTTTAGCCATACAAAAATAGGTCTATTGGCTATTTTTACCTATTTTGTCTTTGCTAATTTTGAGTAGTTTTTTAAGGTCTATATATTTAGATTGGTTGATCATATATTTTTGAAAATTTGGACACTAGTAACAAATTTAAGTAAACTGTATTACGTTTTTTTTTTGACAAAATTTGACTTATTTTTGTTTAAAGTAAACTCTCTTTTTTTTTTCAAAATTATTTTTTAAAAAAATCATTTAGTATAAACTGACCTAAAAAATAAAAATAAAAAATTTACTCAAAGTTATAAAAAAAAAAAACTCACTAAATATGAAAAAATAAGTTAAAAAAAGAAAAGAAAAAAAAAAAAGAGCACTAGTGTCAGCTTTTTCTATAGGTTGGATTGGCATGCGTTAGTTAAATGAAAAATGCTTAGGAGCACTAATTAGTGCTCCCACTAATTAGGTAGCAATGGGTCTCGCCATTAATGATGTGATGTTTTGATCTTGGAGTTGTGTTTCTTTTTTTTTAAACTTTTTTAATGCATTAGTGCTATTAGTGGTGATATTTTTAGTGGGATGAATCATTGTTGTTAGTTAAATATGTATTAGTAATCAGTACGTCTACACACTCATAAAATTTAAAATTTAAAATCAACATTCATTCATGAAATAATCTCATTATAAAAAATTAAATCTATACTCTAAATATGAAATTCTAAATAATTTTCTCATATTTTTTTTTTATGGGTGTCCATACTTTTCCATTAGTTGTTAGAAGTAGAACATCTCCATAAATTCTAGGTGAACCCATACCCATTTGATACTTAATATTATATCAACTATTGGTGTAAGGATCCTCTGTCCTCAAGTTATTCTTTTCCCCTGTTCCAATCTATTCTTTTCCCCTGTTCCAATCTACTTATAATTATTGAGATTTTCATATCTTAAGATTCTCATATGATCCAATGATAATGAGTGAATTGAGACAGATGGACATAGTTATTTGGGAACAGAAGATTCTTGCACCAAATATTGAATCCCAATTTAAGAGACCCACATAGAGAAGCCTGTGAGACAGGACTGCCTTATATAAAGAAGGCTGGTGTAGAGCATAAGATCAACTTCATTCAATCTGATGGCATTTCCATTCTAAACAACCTCCTTACAACTGTAAGTCCATGCCTTTAAATTTGTTCCCTCCACACCACATGCATGCATATAATTCATATTATATTTAGGAAAATGATTGGTGGCCCTAAAAAAATTGGCCCTAATACCCCTAATTTCCAGTTTTGGAAACTGTTCTCTTTTTTTCTTTCTTTTTTCTTTTTTTTTTTTTTTTTTTTACCTGAAATGGAAATTTCGGGCAATTCGGGGCACGGCTTTCGGGCCCTCAATCACCGCCCTTATATTTATTGCAACTATTTATATTATGAGAACAAATTTTATTTATTTACACAAAATCCGATCATAAAATTAGACTCAATTCTACGCATTTTATAAATTTTCTTATGAAAATATCACTCACCTCTTGTTAAAATTGCATATCCCCCTCTCTCCTGGGCAATCTCCTGGGCAAAGTATAGTTCGTCAGGAGGTTGGACCTCAAGTTGTTTAATCAGCACTTAGTGTGAGTTCAATGCTCCCTCGTTGTGCGAGTCCTGACTTAAGCAGAGCTTGTCTTGGGAGGTCGGGGCAAGTTCTCAAGTTCTAGTCTCCTCACTCGGAACGGCTAACAGGACACCCTACTGATCTCTGCAAGGGGCGTTACCTTGGACCTGCGGGAGGGTAGGGAGGATTTTCCTGTAACAAAAAAAAAAATTGCATTTTCTATTTTACTATACGAGATATTTTATTTTTATTTTTTCTATTCTATGTTCCAAACATTCTTCGTATATCATAACTAGCCTATCACCCATGCTATGCATGGGATAATTATAGATATTTATATTTATTTTAGATTTTTTTAATATATAAATTATGTTTTTTAAGATTTTTTATAAAAATAATTTAACAATCTTATCACTAACCATAGTGTATGGGAGAAGTTGAATACATGTTGGTAGAGATAGGATTGAGAAGGAAGGAGGAAGGAGGAAGGAGGAGGAGTAGGAGGAGAAGAGGAACTGGAGGGGGCCATAATCACAGGGGAGGCGGAGGCGGAGGCGGGGCTGGGCAGAGGCGAGGCTGGGCTGCGATGGCAGAGGCGGCGATCGGGCTGGGCTGGACGACGACGGGGACGACGAGCTGTGACATCCCGGTGACGAGCTCTTCCCTGCGACGGCGACGAGCTGCGACCTGCCTCTCCCTCTCCCTCTCTCTTTCTCTCCGTCTCCCTCTCCCTCTCCGGGTCTCAGAGCTGCATGAAGAAGACGAAGGAAAAAGGAAAAAAAAAAAGAAAATACCCAAAACAACGTCGTTTTGGGGATTATGGGGATTATGGGGAAAGAATTTCGAGTTCTCAAACATTATTCTTATTTATATGATGGGATTTTAAATACTGATTAGGAGATTTTGACCAAATTAATAAATGCAAACATGTGGAAAGACATGTGAATTGAAAAAAAAATTAATAAATGCTAATCAGAAGATTTTGACCAAATCAATTAATGCTGAGTTTTTTTTAAAATAAAAAATAAAAAATTTAGAAAATTCAGATTGAGATATTGAAACTCTACAAGACTTCAGAGTTAAAAACTCCATTTTAGTTAATATATATTATAGATGTACCAATTATTTAAAAATTAATTATTTTGGTATATCAAATGCCGGGAAGATGATTTGGGATAGAGAAAGCGGAGATATACCTAAAGAAAGCGATTATACACGTGTGTGGGGGTTTACAGAATAGGTGGAGAAATTATACTTTGGTCTAGGGGCAATGCCACGTAAATTCATGCTAACATAATATTATCCATTTGTCAGATCATTCATCAATCAACTGCTATTGGAACATCAATTGGCCTTGCAGTTGGACCATCCAATAACTTCTCTCCCATAAATCTGTGTTTTGGAAAATTGGAAGTATAATAAATGTGCGTGTGACTACCTTTCTTTTCTTTTTTCTTTTTTTTCCATTTTTTATAACAAAACGAGCTTATTAGGCCAACCAAACAAAGCCTTAAATTTGTGTAATAACAATATTGCAGGGGAAAAAAGAAGGGGAATTCGACTTTGCATTTGTTGATGCTGACAAGGAAACCTACATCAATTACCATGAACCACTGTTGAAATTGGTGAAGATTGGAGGAATTATAGCCTACCACAACACCCTATGGGGTGGGTCTGTAGCCCCTCCATCTAACGACTCTGATCATCATCAAGAAGAAGGGGATGACAATAAAAGAGATGCTATGAGAAAGCTCACTTTCTTCGATTACGATTCTCGCAGTGGCGGAGGTAAAAAGTTAAATTAGAAGGGATACTTCTTAATTATATTATCGAAAATTTTTACAAAAATATTTCACATAAGTTTTTATAATTGATTTCGAGAAATATCAAAAAAATAATATTATTTATAACTAGTGTATCATGGACAATATAAAAAAATATGGATATAAGTCTCAAAATAAATTATATAATGATAAATTATTTTCTTATACAAAATTTGATTCAAAATTCAATATAATGATAATATCACGTCATCATTAATATACGATATCACCAACTAATAGTAAATAAACACATAGAGAGTGAACCTCACATGTTAAATGTAACTAATAATCCAATAAATTTCATATCTTTATAGTGAGATTACTTATACTTACATGTCAATAATAATAATATCACCGTTACATTTAAAATTTTCATAGATAATATGATTTATAGTAATCTCTTTATTTTCAATCAAAACAACTATTATTATTTTCATAATTTTTAAAATATCATTGACATTTCACTCTAATAATATTTTTGTAATTCTTTTTATTTAAAATATTTTCTTATATTTGCAACAAAAAAAAAATCACAAAATCCAGGAGGGGCACGTGACCCCCCTGTTCCTTACGTGGCTCCGCCATTGAATTCTCGTGTGGACATTTTTCTGATTCTAATAGCTGTTGGTCTCACTTTCTATCGACGTCTCTCGTAGGAGAAGTTATTTGATAGTTTTAAGTATAGTCATTACTTCAAGAGTATCGTGATTGATGGAGGGTTTGGAATCCACGATTTTGTATTAAATTATAGAGATCACGGCCATAGATGAACTAAATTTTAAAGCCTTTTAAAATATTGTAAGTTTTTCAAGTCAAATTTAAGTAACTTACTACTTAATTTGACTTTGGCTCATTTAAACTCCAACTTTTATTAAGTTGTTAAGAGTGAATGGATGATAGTTTTTGCAAATTTTCATTAACCAGAGTAATACATAAACAATATTAATACAAGGTAAATACGTTCTCATCTAAAAATTTTACGTAAACAGGTTTTTCATGTCATTTTTTTTAGTTAAGAGTTTTCAAAATCTATACTAAAGACATGTTTAATTATTTTTTTGAGGAAATAACAAATGAGTGAATTTTAAAAAAAAAAATCAGATTAATGGTAAACTTTAATGATTGAAGTTATAAACTTTTCGATGATTCCACAATTATTTTAGAAAGTCCGACTGATTTGTAATTTTTTTTTCTCCATATGTTTTTCTTTCGGAAAATGCTATAGACTCTAAATGAATTACCAAATATTCTAGCAAATCTCTCCCATGGTCGTGGGAGTCACGCACATGTGATTTGTGTGGGTTTCACACCATGTAAGAGATTTGGTAGAATATTTAATAATTCATTTGGAGTTCCTAACATAACTCTTTTCTTCCCCGAACATTTTTCTTGAAAAATAAAGGGAAAACATTGAGATTTTGAAAAGAAATTACACAATTTGACATGTTATAAGTCATATTTGAGTAAATTGCGAGTTCCAATTCCATTTCTATGCGTAAATTGTGAGTTTAAATTGTGATTTCTGGCATTCTATTTATATGTAAGGATATATATATATATATATAATCGGCGTGGTGCCAATCAAAGCACTAGGGCACCTATACATAGGTGCAGCTTGGGTGACATTCCTGAACACAAAGTTGGTTAAGCTTTTTGGTTCACTTTCAAGTTTCGGTAGTGAATGACATTAATTTGGAGAGAATGTGAATGTGATATCTAACCACTACTATGATTCAAATTCTCATAACAAATTAAAATATGAATGTAAAAATTAAAACATGAATGTGATCTTTTAAAAAAATAATTTGGACCCCACATGGAGGCACTCTCATGACCGTCTCTGGCTTGTGATTGGTCAGTTTTTTTTTTTTTCACTTCTCCTCCAATCACCAACCTCCACGTGTGTGGGGGATAGTGGGGTGGTAGAGAGAGGAGGTCTCAATCACTTCTGAATTTTTTATTATCAATTTAAGTTGGAATTACTTTTCACTCTTTTTATGGGAATTTCACATCAGGATTGTGTGAGTTATTTAAAAGGTAAAAAAAAAACGAAGTCAATTTATAATATTTAAAATTTTATTATAGATTTTTTTGTTTTATAGTTAAAGTAAACACTTTAATTTAATTGTCATGTGAATTTTATTCTTACCTGTTTTTGATATTGAGATTCTTTAATTTAATTTTATTTCTATTATTTAAACATAGTTTAATATTTTCTTTTCTTAGATTTCATCCCTCCTAATTAGGATTGTACAAAATACTATCTAATCCGCCAAAATCGCACCAATTTGCACCGTTTCATCTACTAACGGCGGATTAAATTTTAAAATTTATAATCCGCTTTCAAAATCGTTCCACTCCACCATAGTTAATACATATATATTTTTTAACCTCTAATGAAATATTAAGTAACAATGAGTGTGAAATAGATTTAACATGTAAAATTTGTTATAAATCAATAGTTATATATATGAAAAATTAGTTTATGTTATATATGAAAAATTGTATAAAATTAATATTATTTATTATGCAAGTACTTGATAATTGGTTAAAAATATTCTTTAATCTGCCAATCCGCTTAAAATCGCCCAAACTGCGATCCGCCATTCGACTTATACTTTTACTCACAAACCGCTCGAACCGTACCGCGCACACCCCTACTCCTAGTATTGTGAAATAAATTATGTTTATTTATATTAATGTAGTGAGCTTAATTTGCTTAAGATTTTTTGAGGTCTTAAAATAACACTTTTGTCATATTTAGCATTTTTCTTTAAAAAAAATTAGGCATTCAATAATAAAAATACTTTGAAGTATTTTAATACACTTTAAACAACATATTAAGAGCTTGTTTGGAAAGAAATGGTTTTGGAATAACTTTTTATGAAAAGATGTATAATAAATAAAATGAAGGATAAAGAATTTTTAATTTTTTTAACTTTTTAATTTCTTAACTAAACTTTTAAATTTTCAAACATAACCTAAGTGGTCTAATAATTGAGCTCAGAATTTGTATTTGATTTATGAACTTAAATAAAAATTTAAAAAGAAAAAAAATAAATAAAATGTGAATAAAGTATAACATATCACACACTACTTAAATATTTTTTTAAAATTTCTACTTTAATTCATGAATTAAAAACACACCCTTAGCAAAGGAATCTACGTCTCAATTCATCTTGATGAGCGCGGGTAATAGGAATAGGAGTAATGGTATAGATTTTAAAAATTTTATCAAAAATTCTATCAAATATTTTATGTGGGTGTGAGACTCACATAAGGTGGGTCTCATGTGAGTCATACACTAATGTGAGACTTTTAGTAGAATTTTTGATAGAATTTTTTGGGTCTCTAATATTTTTGTAAGAATAAAGCTATACATATTTATAGGTACATTAATTCGTATATTAACAAATATTGTGATATAGTTTTATTAATTTTGAATATTTATATTTTATATAATAATTGAATCTATAATTTTAAAATTATAATATTATAATATATATTATTAATTAATATATCAATTAAAATGTGTAGCACAATTCCGATAATAGAAGAGGGAACAAAAACGTTTGACTGGCCGGTGTACATAAGTCTATTCTATTGTTATGTTTTGTAGTCAATAGTAGTAATAAGTTATCTTTCCCAATAATTTTAAAAATGAGTGGTCTGGTCGGAGGCTCGGCGGCGATCGGCACTGCCATGTGGATGTATGTGGGAGTGGAGTGTGAGACCAATGGACTGTCGTGGACTTCTTGTCCCCATGCACCCATACATCCTCCCGTGGCGATTTCTTTCAAAACCTCCAATATTCAACATGTGTTCAATATTTCAATAAGTTAAAAAATATTTTTTAACTTTTAAAGAATTATTTATTTAATTTATTTAAATTATTTCGTAAGAGAATTTTATTTTATTTTATTTTTTTATTTTTGGTATCTAACCATTTTTTTAATAGTTGATCCAAAAACTATGACTAGTGAAATAATTATTAATTGAATTGTGACATTTTTGATCATCTACTAAATGAAAAAAAATACTAGCGAGGATATTCTATTTTTTTAGATTGATCTAGATTCGGGATAAGCTTCCCCGCATATCTTATCTCTCCATATTTTTTTATATCCTTTATATGGATTACAATTCGGATCCACACTAATGCATGGATATAAAAGATTTTCAAAATATTTAAAGATAAAAGATTTTCAAAATATTTAAAAATAGAAGATGAGTTTGACTCTAATTCAAATTTCTTCATCAAAACAAAACTCTCAATCCTAACATCTCATGAACCTCTTTCTTACGTGGCACATCCATTCCTCTCTCATTCTATTTTCCTATTTGTTCTTATCTTTTTTTTTATATTTTATATTTCACTTTTTAATTACTTATGGCATGGATATAAAAGATTTTCAAAATATTTAAAGAAAAAAGATTTTCAAAAACCTAATAAATTAAGATAAAAATTATGCTAAATAATCTGACGGAAACTCTAATAATAATTAAAAAATAAAAGTTACGTGTCACCTCTGTCCCTATTTATTTCAATTATTTGACTCTTGTATCCAACGTCTGTTATCATATTTATTTTTAAAAAATATTCAATTTATAAATTGTATATTAAAATAAGTGAGATGCATATAAATTGTATTGAAAGTCCAATGAATTGTCATTAATATATTACTTCGGTTAAATCTTGAATGCACTTTTTAATCTTCTTCTTCTTCATTTTATTTTATTTTATTTTTTTTGAGGGTATTTTTGTTTAGTCTTCTTGTTCTATGGACATTCAATAATTTTAAAAGGTGCAACTCTAAATAGTAGAAAGCAAGAAAACTAATTTTAAACTTAGGAAAATAGAAGTAGACCATGGACTAAATTTCTGCAAGTGAATCTCTTACCTTTATGAATTTAAACTTTTTTTTGTCCATATTCCATATTTTAATATTCCATTTTTAAAAAAATAAATCATTGAGAGTGATTTGAGGAAAATGATTAAAACGGGCATCTTATATTTTTGGAAATATGATTTTTTTCCATCTCATCTATATTTTAAAATCACAAGTTTTAAAAATTCTATTGAGTTCTTGCATTTGATATGAAAAAATGAAGATAAAAAGATGAAAGAAGGAAAAACGAAATTAGAGAAAAACTATGAATGGACGTTTGAGCATTTTTTTTATTTTAGTATTTTTTTTATCAAATTTATTTATTCTGTTTGGTTTGAAATTTTCAAAAATAGTTTTTTGAGTTTTCAATTCATTGTTTTAACATATTAATCATTTTTTAATAGATATAATTAATTTAGAAACACTTAAAAAATATATAATTTCTACAAATTTTTTTAAAAATTCAATGAATATAACAAAATATAAAAACGTATTGAACTTTTATATTTTTTATATTTTTTCGTACTTTTTAAGTGTATTTATATTAAATGAACCTAAAGATTAAGAAAAAATTGATCAACATATTTAAAAATTCATTAGAAATAAAAAAAAATATATAGATTGAAAATTTAAAAAACTATTTTTGAAAAATCTAAACCAAACAAAGTCATATTTTGTTTTTTAAAAAAAAATTATAGATTGAAAAATCCTAGACATTTAACATGATAAAATTGTAGAAATTTCAAAAAGGGTACATTAGAATTTCCCTTAAAAAAAAAAAAATTAAACAATTTTGGACTTTTAAAAAAAAACAATTTTGGACTTTTTTTCTTTCCAAAATAAAAATAAAAATAAAAATATATTAAAAAAGGCATTTGCCAAAAGCATTTTGGGTCCTTCTCCGCAATTTAAAAACACTTTAGCCTCACCTACAGGCTACAACAACAATAGCCGCGAACAACGCGACGAACCTCTCTCTCTCTCTCTCCCCTCTGTTTGTTGTTTGTGTGTGTGTGTGTAAACAGTGTATATTGCGAAGCAACCAAAGTCGAATCGACTACAGACGAAAGCTAAACGTGCGGTGGCAATGAGCGTAGATAGGACTCAGGGAAGCTGCGTTACAATCCGTACTCTTCCTCCACTATCCTCACTCTCCAGATGTGTTTACTCTTCTTCAGGTCCTCAATTTTCTCTCTCTTAATCTTCATATTCATGTATATACTTACTTGCTTATATATAGATGTATTGTTGCTTTTGTGTTTACGAGTGTGTATAAATGTTGATTAATCTCGCGATCTGCGAGGTTGATGTTTTGATTGATTCGAAATCTGCACGAATTTCAAAATGTTTTTTCGTTTTTGAGATGATCGATTTTATGTTTTGATACCGGTTACAGTATGTTCTGTTGTGGTTGATTCGATTCGGCATTCGTAAATTCACTTCGAAGCTTCAACTCTCTCTATATATACACGCAAATATATGTACGTGTGGTTTTTGCTTCGAGGCTTGTTTTCAATCCAAAGGTTTCAGAGATTAGGTTGATTTTTCACCGCAATCAAACGGTTTCAAAATTTTACTTGAATATATGTGTTTTTTTTTTTTTTTTAAATTATTATTTATTATTATTATTGTTTTAAAAATCGAATAAATTCGTCATCTTTTGTGCTTTTGCTAGGTTTTACTTTGTCTGAGCAATTTTGGATTGCTTCATATTTAGATAGTCTTTTTTTTTTTTTTAAATTTAATTATAAAAAAATAGAATAAATTCGTTATGTTTTGTGCTTTTGCTAGGTTTTACTTTATCTGAGCAATTTTGGATTGCCTTCATATTTAGCTAGTTTTATTTTATTATAAAAAAATAGAATAAATTTGTTACGTTTTGTGCTTTTTCTAGGTTTTAATTTATCTGAGTAATTTTGGATTGCCTTCATATTTAGCTAGTCTAGGTGTTTGTCATGATCTCTTTAACAAAAAGCTTGATTACTGTTTCTATTTAATTTAATGCAGATGCAACTGAAGTTATTTTCTCTAAATTAAAATTGGAAAAAAGGACAGTTTTGAGAGCAGATGAGGAGTGTTTTCAGTTGAGTTCATGATTCCACCAAATTCAAAGCATTTTTTGGTGGTTGCAATTTACTAATGTGTTAGTATCTCGATTTCAGAAAGTATTTTTTAGGTAATTCGATATGGTTGTGTTGAAATCCCACCTAATCCTGCTTGACTTAGATGCCCTTACAATAGAAAGCTAGCTTTTTTTTTTTTTTTTTTTTTTTTTTTTTTTTTTCCTTTGTTTTTGTAATTGTGTGAATTCAATTCCTACAGCTAATATCTTTACAGTGCAGTACTGTGTTACAATTCTAGCATGATCATTTAAGCTAACTATTAGTAGATACAATACAATTATTATGACATGTACATATTTACAGAAAAATGTTATTTTCCTAACCTGTGGGAGGACAATAGTGGTTGGACTACATATCCCAACCTAACTCACACAGCGGGAGCGTGAAAATGGCGAATCTTAAAAAAACTTTGACAGTAGGAGCAGCTCCAGAGCATAATAACAAAACAAAAAATACAACCACCAAAATGTGCAATTCATGAAAAAGTAGAAATGACATAAAAATCAAACAATTTTTTTTAGCTACTAAATTATGAAGGCAAGAATATGTTATAAAAGGTAAGTGTGTCTTTCATTTATTTCTTAAATTTATAACGGAAGCTGTCAAACAATTTTTAGTAGCTGTAATTTATTAAAAGGCAAATGAGAAATATTAAATTTGTAGATCACAAAAATTGAATCTGTGGATTCGGAAAAATGAGAGCTGGAATTCATGAAGGTTTTCACTCTTAGAGCATCAATTCTGTGACTTAGATCCCGACATAAATTCATCCTTGAGAACTTCAAGTTTGGTTATTCCACAGTTTCCTAAAAGAACTAAACTTTTCTGCAAAGCAAGTAGTTGCACTAAAGTAGCTTCGTATCCTTTTAACTTTTTCTTTTCCCCACTTTTTTATAGAATTACTTTCTTGTATGACACTTCAAACGGACAAGTCAATGATTATTTGTCTCGCCACCAAATTAATCTTGCCTGCCATGATGTCATTTTGATGAAAGATGTACCAGGCCCTTCATCACCATTTTTTGCTAGTGGTCACCACTTTTGATGTGCCAGACCAGAAAATGGATTAATGCTTTTTCCACTAAAATCTGCTTCACCCATTGTATAATGATGCATTCTGTGGGCTATATTCATTTTTTCCTGAGTGTTGCACAAAAGGTCATGAAATTGATAAAGTAATGATAATTACTTATTAGGTAGTCAGCTGATTTAGAATCCTAGGCTAAAGGCAGAAGTCAACTTGTTGGTTGCAGATGATGCAACCTTTGGGTCACCAACTCGGATGGGGAAAGGCCTCACTTGTGTTTGCTTCAAGAGCAGGGGAACTTATGAAAGAATTTGCATCAATTTGACACCCCTACAGGTGAGCATCAATGATCTCTAACGATAAAAAGTGAGGAAGAGGAAAGGCCCATGGAAATTTTCCTTTTGTTTTCCTACCATTAATTGGCTCTTTATTTGTGTATTGAAGAACTTAAGCCTTGTTTGGCATGATGTAGAAACGTCAAAAAGTCACTATCCTATTTAAATCACATTATCTTATTTAAGTCACATCACCTCTCATCACTTCAAACCCAATCCATACCCAATTCATATTTCATAAAAAGTCAAAAAGTGTACTTATTTAGATCATCCCAAACCACTCCTTACTATCTTTGTACTATACGATAAAAAATGTGATATGGAAACCTTTCAGTGTGTTTGGTTTGAGTTTTTTGAATTAAGTTTTTTAAAAACTGAGTTTTTTGATTTTCATATTTTTTTGTTTTTAGTGAATATTTTTAAAATTTTAAACATTTTTTTTTATTTTTTTAGATGCACCTTACTTAGATGTATCTAAAAAGTAAAAAATTTGTGAAAAAATATTTTTAAAAATTAATAAATACATAAAAATATAAAAAATGTAGTGAATTCTCAAATTTTTTTTTTTTTGTATTTTTGGTATTTAGTGAATTTTTAAAAGTTTTTTTCAATTTTTTTTTAACTTTTTAAGTATATTTATGTTAGATATGTCTAAAAATTAAAAAAATTGCTCAAAATATTAAAAAAATTTCAGTAAAAACAAAAAAACACGGAAGATAAGAAAATAGAATTTTCTGAAAAGTGTTTTTGAAAAATGATAACCAAACATAGTGTTTATTTTTTTCTTTTTAATCACATAAGCATGTGGTGTGGGTTTTAACCACGTAAAGCTTGTAGCTCTAAGTAGGTCATCTAAAAGAAGAATTATTTAGATTTACTAATTTATCTATACTATTATATATGTGAACACTGGACCTGTTGTCCAAATGTTTGGTGGTTTCTCCTTCTGTCACGTGTTTTTTATTTTCTAATTAAAAAAAAAAAATTGATAAACAAAACTCAAACCTTAGACCTTGAATTTGTCAAATAAGACTCTTAGTACTTGACTAGCACACAACATTTAGTAAATATTTTATTTTATATTAATTTATTTGAATTGTACGCGCATTGCGTGTGCCATCTGCTAATGTCATTATATGATTCTTTTTGTGTCTTTCTTGTCTAATCACATAAAGCACGTGGCATTGCATTTAAACCATGTAAGCTTATAACTGTAAGCAGTTATCTCAATTAAGAACTATACCAGATTTAGTGATTTCAGTCATTGTCTGATCTGATTCTCTTACTTTCTTGCTTTCTTTGTTTTTTTGTTTTTTTGTTTTTGTGTTTTTGTGTTTTTGTGTTTTTTTTTTTTTTTTGAAAGAAATCATTTCAAGGCATTCCTATTTGCATCTCTTCAAAAATTCTTAATGTTAAAATTTGTAAAACACCTTCTCAAAAAGAATTTATTTGTGATGTCAGGGATTTAGGCCTTTCTGCATAAATTTGTCCTCTTAATTCTGTTAATGTTTGCCATATGCAGGAAGAGAGACTCAGAAGGTTGAAGCATCGGATGAAGGTTAACTTTGATGCTTCCAGAGTAGAACATCAGGTGTGTTTTCCACTGCCAAATTAGTTTATAACCTTGTATTTAGTACTAGACTCATCGTGGAGTGACAACAACATGGATCATCAAAAGCAGAGATTTATTATATGACCATATCCAGACAGAAAATAGGACACTGTTATAGAAGAAGGCTAGGGCTCATACATTGTAAATTTTAACCTTCCAATGTTCTTTTCGAATTTCGCTTTGTTTGACTTACTTTCAAGATTTACACGATCACAGGAAGGTTTGAAAGCTCTATGGTCTGCCACATACCCTGGTCAGGAGCTCCATGGCTTAGTATCAGATCAATGGAAAGAAATGGGTTGGCAGGGCAAAGATCCATCAACCGATTTCAGGTTGCCGTTTTGCTTTGCATGTTTTGTTATGCTGTTTTATCATCAACTTTTTTGTTTTCATTGTTTGATGTGAACAGTTTTTATATGTTGAACAGAGGAGCGGGATTCATTTCGTTGGAGAACTCATTGTTTTTTGCCAAGACATTTTCAGTAAGATCCGAGTTTGGCGGGACAGACTTTTTCTTAATGATAAAACTACCTATTTGAGATCTTTTGCAACCATGCAACATACTTTGAAAAACATATTATGCTTTGTTTAAGTTTTCGTTTTCGTTTAATTTGCTGCAGACATCTTTCCAGTGTCTATTAAAAAAGCAAGGAGGGAAGCGAGCTGCGTGGGAGTATCCATTTGCTGTTGCTGGTGTAAATATCACATTCATGATCATGCAAATGCTTGATCTAGATGCCAGTAAGGAGAAAAATATTTCTTATTCCGAGTGTAAAATATTTGATCAAGTCACACACACACACACACATACACACACACAAAATGCAAGAAGATTCTTGTAACCCTTTAGTCTCCTCTGTGTGTCTTGAGGTGACAGATGAATCCAAACATCGCCTTTTCTTCTTGGATGTTTTTTTGGGTGCTCTGCTAATTCAAGTGATTGCAATACTTGCAGCAAAACCCAGGACGTTTGTCAGAACTGTTTTCTTGCAGATGTTGTCAGGTAAGGGGCTGCAACTGAATCCTAACCACTGTTTCAAATCATAAAATTATTTTTGGAAGATCTTTATCTGCTACTGATCAAACATGTTAAGAGACAGTTTGAGGCATGTTTTGGTGTAAAACATTGGGCCTGTTTGGTTGTGTTTTCATTTTGTAATTTTTCATTTAATTTTTTGTCTTTTTTTTTTTCCGTGCCTGTTTTTTTCCAAAAAAAAAAAAAAATGATGAATAGTTTGAAAACAGTTAACCGTTTCGTATTATTTTCAATTTATGTGCTAGAACATATTTCAAAAATAAAAAAAAAAACTGTTTGATGTTTCCCAAAAAATTAGTTGTTTTTCGAAAGGCTTTCCCAACCCAGAAGTTCACACTTACTCAGCAGATTTAATTTTGTGTGTTTTGAAATTAATTAGAATTTTCTTTATGCATTTTCAGAAAATGAGTGGGCATTTGACTTGCTTTATTGTGTGGCTTTTGTGGTTATGGACAAGCAATGGCTGGAAAAAAATGCCACATACATGCAGTTCAATGTGAGTAACCTCTGTTTTGTGTGTGCGTGTGTATGTGTTGTTTGTTTTCTCTTTTTCCTGATGGGTACTAGTTAGAATTGAGTAAATCATGAAATATTATTTTCCATAGGATGTTTTGAAATCAACTCGGGCTCAGCTTGAGAAGGAACTTCTAATGGACGATGTCCTACGGATCGAAGACATGCCCTCTTATACCCTGCTCTTTTAAACCGTGGCCAATCCAAAGCATTGCAGGCCAGGGATGTCTCAAATTGAATATATCTTTATTATAGGAGCTCTTACCGTCTTCCACATGACACAACCGTCCAATTGGTTTATTCTTTCATACACCTCTTTCGACTCCTTTCTCTGCCAACAGTTTTTTAATCTTTTAACAATGGTGAGTACTGGGAAAGTACGAGGACATTTAATAAGGTAATCTTTTTGTCTTTCTTCTTCTGTATATGAGAAACTTTGATGAGATGAGTAGTCTTTTTCTTTTGCTTTTGCTTTTGATTCTCTGATCAATTCAATGTTGGAAAAGCTTGGATGTAACTGGTATCAGAGGATTGAAGTTAAATCGTTATGCAAATCTGTTTCAGATTTTTCTATTTAAGAAATCCATTTGTTTATTGTTGGTTTTCTATTTATCATGTTTTGTTTTGTTTTTGTTTTTGTTTTTGTTTTTTTTTTTCTAGGGACTTTATTTTTTCCTTTCATAGTTTAATCAATTTTTTTTTAAAAATGTATCTAAAACATAAATTATTTGTAAAAAAAAAATCACTAAAGATGACAATTAAAAACCAGCACTTTTTTATGTTTTTCTTTTGTGATTTTTTTCCCCTGTTTTTCATAAGGAAAAAATGCACTAATAGTTGTTAAAAGATTGGTGTCATTTTGGTCTTTTAAATTTTAATTTTATTAATTTTGTTCTGAATGTTTTCAATTTGAGTCAAATTAGCTCAATTCTAACCAGTCGTTTTAATTGTTAATAGAATCATTATAAATTTCAATTATGATTCTTGAAATTTATTTTTTGTCATTTGGCTCTTAATTAAAGTATCACTTTTGTCAATTTTGATCCTCCCTATTGTAAGGTTATGTTTCATTTTTTTATTCAAAATTTAGAATTAAAGTGATAAAATTAAAAATTTCAAATACCAAAATATTAGATCTTGCATATTTTAAAACAAAATGGACCTACATGGTGTGGATCTCACCTCATGTGAGATATTTGATAAAATTTTTGATAAATTTTTTAAAATCGCTAATATTACTCATTTTAAAAGCATGTGTTTCTTATTTTTGTTTTCAAAACTTCTGAGCATACCATACCTTTTTGTTTTTCCCCCCGTTTTCCAAAATATATATATATATATATACATCCAAAAAGTTTTATAAATAAAAACAAGAAATTATTCACTGTGTTTGGTTTGAGTTTTCTGGATTAAGTTTTTCAAAAATTGAGTTTTTTGATTTTCGTGTTTTTTTGTTTTCAGTGAATATTTTTAAAATTTAAACATTTTTTTTACTTTTTTAGATGCACCTTACTTAGATATGTCTAAAAAGTAAAAAAAATGTGAAAAAATATTTTAAAAGATTAAGAAATACATAAAAATACAAAAAATGTACTAAATTCTTATATTTTTTTTTTGTATTTTTGGTATTTAGTGAATTTTTAAAAGATTTTTTTTACAATTTTATTACTTTTTAGGTATATTTATGTTCGGTGTGTCTAAAAAGTAAAAAATTTGCATAAAATATTTAAAAAATTTAGAAAAGTTTTATAAATAAAAACAAGAAATTATTCACTGTGTTTGGTTTGAGTTTTTTGGATTAAATTTTTTTAAAATTGAGTTTTTTTATTTTCGTGTTTTTTTGTTTTTAGTGAATATTTTTAAAAATTTAAACATTTTTTTTACTTTTTTAGATGCACCTTACTTAGATGTGTCTAAAAAGTAAAAAAATTGTGAAAAAATATTTTAAAAAATTAAGAAATACATAAAAATATAAAAAATGTATTAAATTCTTATATTTTTTTTTTGTATTTTTGGTATTTAGTGAATTTTTAAATTTTTTTTTTTACAATTTTATTACTTTTTAGATATATTTATGTTAGGTGTGTCTAAAAAGTAAAAAATTTGCATAAAATATTTAAAAAATTCAGTAAAAACAAAAACACACGAAAAATAAGAGTGTAAAATTTTCTGAAAACTGTTTTTAAAAAATGGAAACCAAGCAAAGTGATTACTCTTTCAAACACCAACTAATTAACTCAGCCCCAGAGCAGACTTATTTTTATTTTTTTAAAATTTTTTTAAACTAGTAAAATCTCTGAAGTTACAACGATACAAGGAAACATCAAGCAGCAACAGCTGCTTCAAAGGTGTAGGAGGAGACCTAGTCCAGCCCAAGGGAAGGGCACCACGCAATTTGCTTCTCTGGCCAGAGCAGACCTTTCAACCCTTAAAAACGTGGCCAGCTGTATTCAAGTCTGTAACAAATAAAAATAAAAAGAAAAAGAAAATTACAGATTTCACACCCATGTGAGACATTTGACCATTTATTTGATAACAAATTCATAAAAAAACCTGCACGACTAATCTGCTCTACACGAAGAAATACTTCAAACATAATCTCATACCACCGGCTCAAAAAGTACAGAATGGCAAGAAATGTTCTCATAATTGATTTTTTCCCCACAATAAATGTTTAGATTCAAGTCGTTCATTTTATAAGACGTTCTGTGTATATTATTCATACATATATTTTTTAAAATTGATCCAATAATTAGAATATTTTTATTTTATCGCGTTTGTTTCCAAACAAAAGAATCATAAGCGTGTTTTTAAAAACAAACAATTTATTTTTTTAGAGACAACCTATATAAACTAAAAAAAGCTAGAATTATCAAATTGCCTAAATTTTTTTCATGGATGACATAAATGGATAGCCCTACAAAATAAATGGTTCAAATTATTGAAACGGGACCAATGGGACCTACGGTGGTCAATTTCAACACTGCAAAGCCTTTATATTCAACACTGCAAAATCATTTTAAATGTTAATCAAATCCCAGAGTCTTTGAAACTACAACTCCGTCTGCCCAGTGGATGATATATTTCAGTATTTCATTACAACTCAATTGCCTTGAAGCTATGTTCATATTTTTCAAAGTCAACTCTTGGCATGAAAATCATATTCTCATCCCCTCCCCAACTCCACCACAAAACACACACAATCCACCACCCCCAACCCCCTAATGATGACTCTGATGCGGCTATCCTTTCTCTTCGTGGTCCTGGCAATCTCATCTGCAGGTAAAGGTCTCATAGCCTATTGTTCAATCTCCACAAATTAACTCACTAACACACAAAATCTTCTTCGACAGATATGCTGCAGAATCCAGACTTCGAATCACCACCAACCAACATAACTGCAAACGCCACGTCCCCATTTTTGCTCCTAACCAAAGCAAACACCATCCCAGGTTGGTCATTCAATGGCACGGTCTGGTACGTAACTTCAGGTCTCAACGTTTCATTGCCAGGGAATGGCCATGCTGTGCAGTTGGGCCAGGGTGGCATGATCAACCAGGCTTTTAGTGCTAACGGAAATTACAATGACTATGTCCTTACTTTCACCCTTGCTCCGGACAGCAAGGACTGCTCTAATAACTCCACCGCTGTAAATGTTTCGGCTCCTGTGAGATCTAAGGTCGTTTTCCTAGAAGGGCATTTTGGGAAGGATATGTGGGAAAGCCATGCTTGCTACTTGGGAAGCTGGGGTGATGAAAGGGAGAAAATCAACCTTGAGATTCAAAGGGCATCAATCAGCACAGACTCCAACCTCACTTGTGACCCCATAGTGGACACATTTCTTATCACAAGAATCGGTATGCCAATCAGATATGGGGGTACGTAATCTTCAAATTCTATATGTGAAGATCTAATTTAGGATGTGAACACAATAGGAGCCTCAAAACTAGATGAAATAATGATTGTGGCGAAATAAAAATGACACAACCAACACAAAGAAGCTTTAGCATGCTTGCTACATGAATAAGGACTTCTATTTATTTTTCCAGACAATTTTCACAGAACAGCAATAAAGATAATACATAAAGCACCACAAACATGTCAACAAGAAATAGACTAACAAAAATTTAACATCATGTTAATAGAAGTTCAAAATTTTCAAATGTCTAACATAATAGGAGTATCTTACAATTAACAGTTAAAACACAGGTTATCATTTAGAAATATTGAATCATAACCACTGTAGCAATCCATGATGTTTATAATCCCCACTTCTCTAGCATTCAATTCAAATTAATAAATTTGTGTACTTTAGTTTCACATTTATCATTTTTCAATTTTTATTCCAAAACCATCAAACAATAACCAGACCCAAGGATTGACTAGTTTTTGATGATAGTAACACCTAGTTTTGAACTCCCAACCCAAGCATTGCCCTCCAATTGGTTCTTATAATTTTTTAAATTGACAGCTCAAAATTAAAATTTGAAGAAAAAGTTGTCTCAAGCACTGTCAGGCATTTTAAATCATAGATAGGCATAGTTCCAGGTCCGAAGATTTCTATACATAGTCAACACTCGATTTAAAAAATGTCAAAATCAAAAAACAGTCAACTTGATATTTAGTCATTGCTAAACCTTCCAATACATATTTTGCAGACAACATGCTGGTGAACGGTGGGTTTGAAGTGGGCCCAGCATTTCTAAGTAATTCATCCCAGGGGATTCTACTACATGAAGAGCCAGATTCACTGCAATCTCCATTGCAACAGTGGTCTATTATAGGAACTGTTAAGTACATAGACTCTAAACACTACTCGGTGCCAGAAGGAAAAGCAGCAATAGAGCTAGTCTCCAGGGGGGCTCCATCGGGAATCTTTACTATCCCGGCCCTCACAAAGGGTTCAACATACAACTTGGAGTTCATGGTAGGAGATGCTAATGACTCGTGTGTGGGAGATTTAATAGTGTATGCTCAAATAGGAACGTCTACGGAAAATTTTACAATGCGAAGCAATGGCACTGGCTCAGCACAAAAGCAGTTTATCACGTTTAAGGCAGACTCAAGTGCAACTCCAATCAGTTTTGTAAGCTATAATGAGAGCCAAACAAGTGATCATGTGTTCTGTGGTCCTGTGATTGACAATGTCATCCTTCGCTCTTCGTATGCTTTGCAACAAAAATTGCAACTTGGTATTTCATTTTCAAGCTTGGTTCTCACCATAGTAATTCTATGGATGGGTGCTTAGTTTTGGTTTGTTCTTCACACTGTTCCAACACTTCTATTGATTTTTAAAGGAAAAATTAATGAATAAATTCAATATTTGCATTGTTAAAATAACCACATGTGCTTGAATGTCATAGAGATATTTTTTGATTCAATGGCAAAGAGATATGAGTGTTCTTTAAGGGCTCCATGAGTTGGGGTCCTCGTTGACTATCATTTTCATTAATGTTGAGCCCAAAAGCTAATAAACAACAATATTGCAACTTAAAATCTCCATATCAAAGCCAATATTGCACAATGGAAGCCAACATCTTATTATGCATATATGCAAGCAAGTCAACCAAACGTAAATCAAACCAAACTAAGCCTTATATCCCAATCAACTGAGTACGGCTATATGAATTGTTTTTCGATTTTTTTGCTGTATCATATTAGGATTCATGTTCATAAGGGAACTTACAGGAATTTTTACATGCTGGCTATCAACCTACTTAACTCACAACCCTCCTCCATCTAGGCTTAGGACTGGCTATATAAAAGATTAAATGGTGAACATGACATAGGCGGAGTTCAAGTCAACAAAATGACCTAGGCTAGACCTTAAAATGTATCCACTACTTCAAACAGCAGAACACAAGTATTTTCTGTTTTCCTAGTCGAATACAAAATAAATCATCAACCTGCCATTCATATAGGGTTGATCGGTGAGAATAGCAAAGAATTCTCATAATCCACAAGAGTAATTTCTCCAGAATTCTGACAAATTGATCAATACTTTTTCAAGGAAAACTATCCAGTATTCAGCAATAATTTCAAAAAATGATTCAATACCTAGCATTAGCAACGGATGTTTTGCTAATTAAAATTGCTCTAAAGAGATATAAAGTGGAAAACGCAGGCTCGCACATCAAATGATTCATTATCAATCAATCGAACCAAACAAAAGCTTATTCGTCTTGAAGATTATCCCCAAAAACATATGCATATATAATATAGACGTGCTGAGCAATACGTAATACCTCAACTGGCACCATTGAACCAAAATGCAACGAAATTTCGAGAACCAAACCTTATCAGAAATGAATTAGGGCTTCAAATCATCAAATACTTGAATTCTAAGGCAAAGATGAAGATAAATCGTGTACTACATTGATGAGCAATTACATATCACCATTGAACCAAAATGCAACGAAAATTTCGAGAATCAAACTTTACCAGAAATGAATTTGGGCTTCGAATAATCAGATACTTGAATTCAAAAGCAAAGATGAAGATAAATCGTGTACTGCATTGAGTACCTCAACTGTCACCATTGAATCAAAATGCAATGAAATTTCGAGAACCAAAGATTATCAGAAATGACTTAGTGCTTCTAATCATCAGTAGATAAATCGAACGTGTCTAAGCAATGAGAGAGATTCAAGCTTTCATCAAGCACAGCAAAGCCAGAGCGAAGATTCGAGAACCAAACCTTACCAGAAATGAATTAGGGCTTCGAATCATCATATACTTGAATTCAAACGCAAAAATTTAAGCAATGAAAGAGATTCAAGCTTCGAACAAACACAGCAAAGCCAGGGAGGGAGAGAGAGAGAGAGAGGGGGAGGGGGGATGAAGCAGGTTTTGCTCTGGTGTGCTGGTCCAGCCAATGCTTTGAGTCAAATCGGGGCAAATATGTAAATTTAAGTTCGAAAACTGAGGGCAAAAGTGGCAGAAAAAAATTAATGCGAGGGCAAAAAAGCCAAAAAAAATTTGGACCATTTCTCGATTTGTGCGTGTCATCCTTGCGCAGGGGCCATGCTAATCTTCTCTGTATCGTTCCAATTTTATCGGATGTCCCCGAGGGGACACAATGCACTCTCTCGCTTCTCTCTATCAAGTGCTTTGTGAATCTACGTTTAATCGATATGGGACAAAGTGCTATACCAATTACGAGACTCCAAACGCGCCGCTGAGTATCTCAATATATCACATCATTAATGGGTTGAGGTTGATTGTGGGCCGTTGATTTTCATAAGACAAATAACGCTTTCATTTTTTGATTTTTTTTTAATTATAAAATATTTTTTATTAGAATTTTCATGCAATTGACCTAATAAAATTACTCAAATATTTTTAATATTAAAATAAAATTATTATATTACTCTTATTTTCATTCATCCATCACCAAATCCTTCTCTACACCATCACAATATTTTTTAACTTTCCTCAACGACACACAAAAGGCTTGTTTGGTTTGTGTTTGTAGAATAGTTTTTGAGATAAAAAGTACGAAAACTTGTTTAGTTTATCTTTTTTCAGAAATGATTTTGAAAAATTGTTTTGGGGAGAAAGTTTTAAAAAAAATGATTGATTTAATGCGTGTGAGAGAGAGAGAGAAAGTGATTTTAGAAAGAAGCAAACCAAACAAAATTTTGAGATTTTTTTTGAAAAAAATTGTTTGGTTTGATTATTCTTGAAAATTTGTTTGTAGAGATTTTTTTCAAAAATTTTTCCCAAAAATAAACCAAACAATGTTTTTAGACAATAATGATGATAGTGTTGGTTGAGACAAAAAGAACAGTGCGATAGTTGGGCAAAATAGTGTTACTAGATGAGAGAAATAAAGAAGGAAGTGAGATAGAATAAAAATTAAAATAAAATGTTTTTTTTTTCAAGATGGTGATAAAATGTTTAATTTAATGAAGGTTAATATATAGTAATTTTTGGGGGAAAAAATTATTGCTTATGTTATAAATTGTTAGTTTAACTTAACGGTTGATTGATAGAAAATATTACTTGTTATGTGATTGGAAACTTCATGGGATAGAGTTTAATTTCTCAAATGCGATGGAGTAATTTCTATTTTTATTATAATATACCTCAAGGGTGTATTTGTAATTTATTTATTAATATAGTTCTTTTATCAAATAAATAACGTATTTATTAAATTTTGGGAACCTTTTTCATAAATCCTATTTCTAAGAATTTTATACTATAAAATCCAAATCATTTTTTATTATTCCATTAGGTCCATTCATTGTAATAGGACGAAAGTACCATTCCTCCACTTCTCCCGTGTCTACTCCATTCTGAAAACAAACCATTCATATTCCATCTATTTAATCCACAAAACACTGATTTTTAAAGAAAATTTCATCGTCGATCCCAAAAAACTCCTAAACTGGAACCCTAGATTCACATTGCCTCACCACTGTCGTCCTCCACCGTCCACTGTCGTCGGCCACTGCTATTCCACTTTATCTCACCGTTTTGAAGGTTTACATCAGAAAGAGAGTAGTTCGTTGTTCCATGTTTCTCATCGGTCGACTGAGTGTAGTCTGTCGATTTTTGTACCCACCCACAATGAGGAACAAAAATAAGCACCATCATGTCACCCTCTATTAATATAATGTAATCACTAATGTATATATTTATATTGCTCTATTATTATTGTTGTTTTTGGATTTGATTTTGTAATGAAATCACTATTTTCACTCTTTGTCCATCTTGGTGATATTGATTTTTTTGTTGAATATGAATAACATTAAAAAGTAAATGCACAATTTGCATTCTTTTCCACCCTCTGTTTTTCAGTCAATGATAACATAATGTGATCGCCGATGTATATATTTACATTGCCCTATTATTATTGTTGTTTTTTGATTTGATTTTGTAATAAACTCCCTACTTTCATTTGTTATTAATGTTGATTTTGATATTGTGATTTTGTAATGAACTCTGATTTTTTCCTTCTGTCAATGTTGGTATTATTGATTGTTGATGTCCATAGAACCCCCAATCTTTACCAAAAAATGTGATGGAATATGAAGTAAATATTCACATTGTGACATCAATGGCAATATTCACATTATGGTTGTCAATCCTCTTTTGGGTCAATGTGAATTCCATTATACATAATGTCAAAATTTATATCAAATTGTCAAATATTAGTAATGACTTGTTTGTTTTAAATTGTCATGTGTTATTGTTTTGTAATACACTCCTTGTGTAACGCCCCGAAAATAATCCAACATATATAATACATCATTCCCACATCCACTAAATAATAATGACGAATCTCTAACCCTTACATCATTAATCAATAGAGTTATTACAAAAATTTCACATGCGAATATACATTCATAGGTATGAAAAACACATGAAGCATATGAAACATCTAGTCTCAAGGAATTAAAATGCCCTTAATGGCTTACATCTTTCAAGGCATAAGCCTGGTTACACAAAATGGTCTCTCAGACCCATACATGTTTAGCCATTGGCTAGCAAAATGAATACAACAAATAAAGTCGTCCATTGTTCACAAAAATGTATCCACGCCCTTAACTTGGCGGGATTACCACATCTTTACCTGCACCAAATCCTATAGAGGTGAGCATAACGCCCAGTAGATAAATCCTTACAAAGTATATACAGTTATGCAAATTTTCCAACATTTGATGCAAATGCAAATGCCATGTAGTGCCATTTCAAAGGTAATCTCATTTCATGCTCTCCTAAAAAGAAAAACACCATAATTTCAATAACATTTTGTGATCTCATCAATTTCAAATTTCCAATTTTAATCATTTGGGGCCGTAAATACGACTCAGGTAATCCCTAGGTTGGTGTCTGCAAGTAGGCTCAACAAGCACTACCAATACCCTACTTTACCGGTTGCTAACCAGAAGGGAAGTGATACCTCCTCCGCGTGTGTTTTCGATCTTTCATCCTGGACACTTAGGCCAACTTATCAAATTTATCTACACCTCCTAACTGGACTTACCAACGTATTTACCCCATAAACACTTCGATAGTTATTTCATTCTCAATGCAGATGATTTATCAAAACTCAACTTAAAACTTGCAACAATGCAAAGATAGAAATGCCAATATGATATGTCAAAGCTAAATACTAACTTTATAAGAATCAATCGAACGAAAACGCAATGCAATAATCATCATCATTATATAGCATTTCTTCATCATCAATTTTCTCAACATTGATTCATCATAATCAAACTTTCCAAATCCCTCATTAATATTATCAAACATAATATCCATAATTCCACCCAATTTCATTACAAACAAATACCTACGCATCTCATATTTGATCGGCAATTCGCCAACCCATAACTTGTCTATAATTTTCAATTTGTAACTATCCATCTCCTTGTTTCACACATTCTATGTAATGCATTATTTCTCTTACACATAACAACAATTTGGTTAATTTCAAAGACCCCAACCCATTTCAAAACAAAATCCATAATTTGTGTCTTGACTATTAGAGAGAGAGAGAGAGAGAGAGGGGGGGGAGGGGAGGGTATCTT